TCTCCCTATTTTCACAGGTCTTTCATTTATAAGTCTGATGTAGTTTCACTATTAGAGCATGGGAAACTGCCCTGAATGATAGGGAAATAAGAGATGAGAGTCCCAGTGCCAAGTGGGTAAGAGGAACCAGGTAGGGGTAAGCCATGCATATCACAGACCAGCTGATTCTAGAGGGCAGCACCTTTAGGATATGAAAGATGCTCTCTTCAGATGTTTCAGGCATGTGCAGAAATTGAGGCTTCTTGAATTTGAGTTCCTACAGGAATACTAGTCATCTTCTGCAATCACCCAACATTTACATTGACCTTTATAAATGCCTACAGCCTCAGAAACTATAGGTGTGTCTTTCTTCATTATCTTTGGTAAGGTTCTTTTTAACTCCTGATCCTGTTCCTCACTAGCTCGCCCTTATTTCTTCGGTCTTGCGTGAGGCTCTATATTTTTATGAAACATATTCTTTGCTACTGCTGTTTATTTTAAAATGACCTGAAAAGTTATCTGATTGTCCAGATGGATGTATTAATTGATCATTTACTCACTAACAAACACTTATTCTTTTTTAAAAACTGGCCCAAGTGTTACAGGTCCCCAAGATCACCTCCAGGTTTGATGACTCACTAGGAGTAGTCACAGGACTCAACCATAAAGTTGTACTCATGTCTACAAAGTTAGGGAGTAGTCCCCAAGAGCACCCTCATTTCTGATACAAATTGCACATTCAGGGGTCCCCAAGATCACCCTCAGGTTTGATAATTCACTAGAAGGAGTCAAAACTTAATAAAAACTTCTACTCATGGTTTATGAAAGGATACATATTAAAATCAGCCAAGCGAAGAGATTGATGGGGCAGAGTCCAGGAGGATTCTAGATGCAAAGCTTCCATTTGTCCTACAACAGTAGGTTACCTGACCTTAGGTGTCCACTCTTTATTGGGGCTCTGTCAAAAATATGGTGGGTTGCTTATGTGGCTCACCTCAGTCTCTAGGCCCTGCGGAGGTCACACTGATACCCCACCATAAATCACATTGTTTGACTGTCTGGTATGGTTCAAGTTTCTTACGTAAACAGAAATACTTTACTTTTATTAGGCATGACATTTCAAGGAGTCAGATCACCTCCCAGGAGCCAAGAGCAAAGACTAGATCTCTTTGGGAAAGGTTAAACTCTTTACTGCACAATAGCTAAGATTCAGCAAAGAGAAAAGTCTCATGGGGCAAAGTCTGGAGGAAACTAGATACAAGAGTCACGTAGGATGTGCTTAATTCTAATAGCTGAAAGTTGTGACATATGTATGAGATGTTGGCTGGACAATAATAGAGATTCGCTACCTAAGGGTTTTACTGGAAGCTGGTCACAAAGGTTCCCTCTGCCTATTTTAGCACATGCTAAAATTCCAGAGTCTTAGAAGATAGGTATTTTGCATAAGCTACATTCACACAAATAATTTAGGCACAGGGAGCCACTTTTATTCTAGGAATGGCAGGAATTCTCCCCAAAACCAAGTTGCTAGAGAACATCGAGGGCCAACTTTGTAAGCAAGACTTTCTAAGGAGAGCATTCTCAGGCTTGCTATATTAATTCTTTCCTGAGTTTAAAAGTATAGAAACTTTTGGCCTGCCTGGGTGGCTCAATCATTAAGCATCTGCGTTTGGCTCAGGTCATGATCCCAGGGTCCTGGAATCTAGCCCCACGTTGGGGGCTGCTCATTATGGAGCCTGCGTCTCCCTCTCCCTCTGCCTCTCCCTGCTCATTATGGAGCCTGCGTCTCCCTCTGCCTCTGCCTCTCTCCCTGCTTGTGCTCTCTCGCATGCTCTATATCAAATAAATAAATCTTTTTGAAAAATAAAAGTGTAGAAACTTTTAGTTTTACTTTTGAGTGGAGGAACTAAGACTTGCTTCCATGGACCTGTGCAAACCAGAAACTTTCATTAGAAGGACCTAAATTGGTTGTTTTGATGTATAGGAGTGAATATAGTTTTAGTTTTGAATCTTGGTGATACTTAGGTTGATATAAAGTGAGGAAATGAAGCACATTTGTGATGCATTTATTAAGGAATCATTTAGAGTTGAGCTATAGCTTGAACCATAAGCTGAAAATGTGTAACAGGTTTTAGTAGATGAAACTCAGGACCCGAGATGAATGTGTATTTCATACACATATACACATATATACCACATACTTTGGTGATAGAGCCCTAGGAACAGAAGAAATGGATTGCCTATGGATAGCACAGAATCGAGAATTGACTAGTTGATAGCAGGAGAAACAAGAAAGTCCTATGTTACAGTTCCAAGGCCTACTCCAAGAAGAGATGGATTTAGACAGCAAAAGAGCTGTAGGACCTGGCTCGCCAGACACCACAACTGCCAGCACCTTGATCTTGGACTTACCGACTCCACAACTGTGAGAAATGTTTGTTGTTTAAGCCCCACTCAGGTGTTTTGTTATAGTCAGCTCAAGCTGACTAAGACAACCTATAACCAACATCATATTTATGAATGCTTATCTCCTAAGAATAAGAAAAAGACAAGGAAGTCTGTTCCCACTGCTTGTATTAAACATTGTCCCAGAGGTTTTAGCCAGTGATAAGGCAAGGAAAAAATAGAAGGAAGATTGGAAAGCAGTAAAACTATTTGCAGATGGCATGATTATGTAGAAAGTCCTATGTATTACACAGAAAGTTACTTTAGAGTTGAATGAGTTTAGCAAGGTTGCACATTATAAGATGAATATATAAAAACCAATCGCATTTCTATATACTAGCATCGAAAAATTAGGAATTGAAATTAAAACAATAATTTATAACTTTATTATTATATATCATATTATATATATAATGATTTATATGTCTTTATGGATATGTAACATATCCATAAATTATAATAATTTTCACTTATAGTAGCACCAAAAATATGAAATACTTAAATAATCTGTACACTAAGAGTTACAAAACACAGTTGAGAGAAATATTGAGGAAATACATATGTTACCTTCATGCATTGGAAATCTCAATATTATTAAGACATCACTTCTCACCAAAATTCATTTATATGTTCAGCACCATCTCAATCAAAATCCCTGTAGGCTTTTAAATAGAATTCAACATGCTGATTCCACAATTCACAGGGAAATGCAAAAGCTACAGTAATCAAGACAAGTATTGGCATAAAGACAGAAAAAGAGGTTAATGAGACAGATTAGAGCCCAGAAATAAACCAGTACATACATGGTCAGTTGATATGGGGAAAAAAAGCAAAGGCAATTCAGTAGAGAATGAAAAATGTTTTTTCAATTGGTGCTGGAACAACTGGATATTTATATGAAAACAACAACTTTGATCCATCTCTTGCACCATATACAAAAATTAACTCCAAAATAGAGCTAAATGTAAAACCTAAAACTACAAAACTTTCAGGAGAAAGTATCTGTGACCTTAAGTTAAACAAAGATTTCTTTGCTATTTCACCATAAAATATAAAAATGATAAATATAACCTCATCAAAATTAAGAATTGCTGGGGTGCCTGAATGGTTCAGTTGGTTGAATGTCTGACTGTTGATTTCAGCTCTGGTCTTGATCTCAAGGTCATAGCTTCAGGCCCCATGTTGGGCTCCACACTGGATGTGGAGTGTACTTAAAAAAATTAAGAATTTCTACCCCTCAAAAAACACAACTAAGATAATGAAAAGACAACAGCCTAGAGAAAGTTATTTACATATCACATACGCAAATAGGTACTTGTATCTGGAATATATACAGAACACTCAAAATTCAAAAAAAGGCAAACAAACCAATTTATAAATGGGTAACAGATTTGAGCAGATACTTCACTAAAGATTAAGTAATGGCAAATAGGTGCATAAAAATGCTCAATATCATTAGTCATTAAGGAAATGCAGATTAAAACCACAATGAGATACCATGATACCCATTAGCATCTATAAAATTATAAGGAAGGACTATATACCAACATTATAATATTGAGTAAATGCTGAAGAATACTAAATCAGTATACTGTTTGTAAGCATGTCAGTGTATATTAATATAAAAATATGACACTGGGAAGGAATAATGTTAATGTATTAGAAATTTCTTTCCCACATAATTATTCACAATTAGAGGCATCTGGGTGGCTCAGTTGGTAAAGCGTCTGCCTTTGGCCTGGGTCATGGTCCCAGGATCCTGGGATTGAGCCCTGCATTGGGCTCCCTGCTCGGCAGCAGGGGTCTGCTTCTCCCTTACCCCCTGGAACTTCCCCTGTTTGTGCTCTCTCTCTCTCTCTCTCTGTCAAATAAATAAAATCTCAGGGCACCTGGGTGGCTCAGTCGTTAAGCATCTGCCTTCAGCTCAGGTCATGATCCCAGGGTCCTGGGATCGAGCCCCGCATTGGGCTCCCTGCTCAGCAGGAAGCCTGCTTCTCCCTCTCCCGCTCCCCAGCTTATGTTCCCTCTCTCGCTGTCTCTCTCTCTCTCTGTCAAATAGATAAATAAAATCTTTTAAATAAACAAATAAATAAATAAATAAAATCTCTAAAAATAAATTAAAGAGCCTTATGCCTAAAGAAATTCCCACATGTATGGCATTTAAAGGGTTACTTTCTCATATGATCCTTTTATGTAGATTAGGGTTGGCTTAAGGTAATGGGTTTCCAAAATTTCTCCACTTACCTGGTTGCTTGCCAGCATGAATTTTGCAATGAATAACAATTGATAGGTGGTATTGGGGGACTTTTACATTACCATTTTAGTATGGCCTTTAGCGGTGAATGTGATGATGTGAATCCGCTGATAAATGTAACATGAGTTGAACCAAAAAGCATTTCCATATTGGACAAGGTTATACATAATCATGAATTATTTGATGTTCCGTGAGGAAAAAAACCAGTGAGGTCTTCCCTTCACATATTTATAGGAATTTTCTGTAGCATGAATTCCTTCAGGTTAAGGAAGATGACAGTATCTGAAAGCCTTCCCACATTACTACATACATAAAGAATGATGTTGAGTAAGTTGTGAACACTGACTAAAGGCTTTCCCACATTCCTTACATACATAGGGCTTTTCACCAGTATGAATTTTCTGACATTGAATAACTAGTGTTAAGTGACTAAAAGCTTTTCCACATTCAGTACATTGATACAGGTTCTCATCAGTATAGTTGCTAATATATTCATTAAATTGTGAAATCCAACTAAAAGTTTTCATTACATTTATATGGTTTCCCACTAGTCTGAATTCTCTGGTGATGATAAAGTTGTGAGCCCTGCATACAGGCCTTCCTACAAACCTTATATTTATAAGCTGTCTCACTAGATGGATCCTCTGATTTGAGGTAGATATGAATGATAACTAAAGGTCTTTCCACATTCATTACATTTATATGACTTCTCACTGGTATGGATATTTTGATGTTCATTAAGTTGTGTGATACCACTAAAGGCCTTTCTGTATTCCTTACAGCCAGGGTTTTTCTCCAGTATGAATTCTCTCATGTTGAATAATTAGTGAGAAGTGACTAAAAGCTTATGCACATTCAGTATATTGATAGAATTTCCCCCAGTATGAGCTCTGTAATGTACATTAAGTTTTGAGAGCCAAATACAGCTTTTTTTTTTTTTTAAACAATCCTTACATGTGTAGGTTTTCTCACCAGTATGAATTCTCTGATGTTGGGTAAAGAGTGAAACTGGACTAAAGGCCCTTCCACATTCTTTACATTCACAGGGTCTTTCCCAGTGTGAATTCTATGATGTTGAGGAAGATCAGAACAGTGGTGGAAAGCCTTCCCATATTGCTTGCATTCATAAGGTTTGTCAGAATTATTTAACTCCTTAATAAGGAACCAGCATGATGGCAAAGCTGCTTCAAAGAAGTCAATAAATGAATACACAAACACAAACAAATGCTGAAATGAGCTTGCTAATACATCAAAAACTGGTTAATTTCATACAGAGTGTGAAAATCATAGCATTTGGGGTTATTTTTTCTGCTGGCCAGCAATGTCCACGTTAACAAGCTAATTGCATGAGTCTAGGTCCTAATCAATAGTAAACAGTAAGTCAGACAAAGGTACAAATCCTCTAGAAAATGAAACAGCAATTGGGCATACTTGTTAGGCAATTTCCTAGTATGATATTTAAAAAGCATGAGTCTTGCCTACCAAAATCCCACATTTAGGAATCTACCCTGATGATATACTTCCAACAACCTGAAAATATATATGCATAAGACTATTCATTACAGCATGATCATAATTTTAAAATACTGAAAACAGTCTAAACACCCACATATAGGAGAGTGGTTCAATAAACTATGGTACATCTACACAAAGTGTTATGCAGCCTGCATACAAGAATGAAAAAAATCATGATCAAAATTGTGATAATAATCATAAAAAATTTGACTATATAGAATTTTAAAAAATGCTTAAGAAATGTTTGACAGCAGAAATTATAGGCTGGTGTAATCCTACATCTGAGGATGCATCAGAAGCAAATTTAGGGCCCAGGTTAATACAGAGTCTTACTCAAACTGGAAAATGAGAAAATGTTTATTAAAAAATTTTTATTAGATGTTTATTAAAATGTTTATTAAATATTTATTAAAAAAGAAAAGAGTGGGGCAGCTGGTTAAGCATCCAACTCTTGATTTTGGCTCACGTCATGATCTCAGGGTTGGGAGATCAAGCCCTGTGTCAGGCTCCACCCTGGGTGTGGAGCCTGCTTAAGATTCTCTCTCCCTCTGCCTCTTCCCTTCCCTCTCCAAAAAGGGAAAGGGTGAAAGAAAGAATGTAAAAATCTGAATCTGGAAAAACATGTCAAAGGAAAAAATCATCGGGCTGTAACCAAAATAAACTTTTTGGAAACATACTTTTGGTTGGAAGTAATGACCCAACTATTAAAAAAAGAATGGGGGAGAAACTGGGAACAAATAATGTTCCCTGGAAAGGTAAAGTTGTACTTCAAAGGAAGTACCTTCCTCTTTGAATGGAGACAGGCACAGGGAGCAGTGTGTGTGAGTACAAGAGAGTCCCCTCCAGAGCTCACACTGACAGCAGTAATGCTCTGTTCTGAACACTAGGGACTCTGACGGGACCCTTCTAGTCATTGTCTCAAAGGTGCTCCATCCTGCTGACCTGGGCCATTAGCTACAGTGCCACTGCCCTCTTTAATCATCCTTCACTCACCTGGCACAGGCTTCCTGTCACATCTCTTTCTGCCAACCAGGGTTCCTTCCCTTGTTCCAGTAAGGAGATGACATTTGGCTTGGATATAGAAAAACCTGTGTACCCAAGAAGAAATGCAGCAGAGTCAAAAGGGGGTGTCTCAGAATTCATATCCAGTTCCTGGTTATCAATGAAGAGAAGAAATTAGAAAAGGCCAGAGAAGAGGAGGAAGTCATTTTTGGAATGGGGTAGAAGCTTTTTTAGGTGTTATCCTACAGAATTATCCATCCCCACTCTGTACAATCTCATGGAGAGCAGAGCAGAAACTCAACCAGGGTCTTGAAAGTCTCCTCAGAAATCCACATCAAAGGCAGATGTTCCAGTGGACAAATTTCAGCCTTCCAGGGGTATTAACATCTTACCTAGAGATGAAGTTGCTTAAGTTCTCCAGCATTCCATCTCTGCACAAATCTTAGCAAGTTCCGGCCTGCCCCACTCAACCTGATATGACTATCGCCACACCCCTAAACATCACTGACCCTTGAAACAACAAAATGATAATGTGTGCCATTGAAATAAGTATTTACGACTAGAAAAATAGAAGGATGAGAAGGACATTGCAGAGCTGAAGCCAGCGAGCACATTAAGGAAATTGTGGCAATTCAAGGGAAGGGTCTGTACTTCTCTTGAGAGCAGCACAACTTCCTTCATAAAAGGAGATAGGTCCATCAAAAGATACTTCAAAGAACGAAAAGAATTCAAGTTCAAAGGTTTTCCAATAAATTAAACTGTAAAGAAGTTCAATGCACAACCTAATATGTCTGAATTGTCTTTATTCCTTCTGTTCAGAAATTAGGCAGTGATTATGGAAACATTGATACATTTTTTAAGTGTTTGAATGCTTTCATAATGTTCCAAGAAAATTCAAATGAGAGAAATGGTTCTCCAGGGCAATTCTGCACCCCCAGAAGACAGTTGGCAGCACCTGCAGACATTTTGGTTAGCACCACTGGGATAGGGAATGCTAATAGCACCTAGTGGGTAGAGACCAGAGATGCTGCTGACCATTCACCAATGTATAAGACAGCACAACTAAGGATTATAAGCCTTAAATATCATTAGTACTGAACTTGAGAAATCCTGAGCTAGAGAAACTTTTTTTTTTCACGGAATCATTGCAAAATGGTTAACAGAGTCTCTGTTAGGAATTATGAGAGTTGTGTATTATTTTAAAATGTATTGAAGAGTCAGGTTCATCATTGTCTTAATGTTACCGTTCCTTACTAGGTCAGCTTCTTCAATCAGATTTATTTTTATTAGCTGCACACTTTCCCATGACATTGCACTAAATGACTCAGCCTTTCATTTTGGGGCACTTGAGGTTGAAAAAGGTATCTTTAGGGACATTCCTAGCTCTGCTGATTTATGATTTTCAATACCTCATGCACTCTGGCTAGTCTCACCTAGCCCATCCCTAAGTGTGCTCTTTCCTTGTTCCCGAGCAATAGAATGCTAATGGGGGATGAAGGGTAATCCAGGCTCACACAGATGTGGCCCACTACCCACACTTGTGGCTGAACATCAGATATGACCTTGGGTCAGGCATCCATCTGGAGGGACTGCTGGGCAATGTCTCTGATTCTATAACCAAATTCCCAATGCCACCCCCAATTCAAAAGGTGTGAAACAGCACTGTTATTACATTCTGAGGCTGAGACCTTCTGTCTTAGTCCATTCTGGCTGCTGTAACAAAGTACCACAGTCTGGGTGGCTTATTTACAATCGAAGTTTGTTTTTCACGGTTCTGGAGGCTGGAAGTCCAAGATCAGGGCGGCAGGATGACTGGGCTCCAGTGAGGGCCCGCTCACAGGTTGCAGATGGCCAGCTTGACATTACATCCTCACATAGTGAAGAGTTAGGTAAGGGATCTCTCTAGAGACTCTTTTATGGGGACGCTAATCCCATTCATCCTGACCTAATCACTTAGTAAAGGTCCCACCTCCAAATACCATCACATAGGAATTGGAAGAACATATTCAGACCACAGCAGAGACCAACCACCACCACTGCCTATCTTATTCAACTGGGAAACCCTGGTCTGTAGATTACCATTAAAGCATTATTATGTGTGGTTCCTTTAAACACTGATTAGTCCCTTAAATCATATTTCATATAGGAGTCTTTCATGTTTCACTGAAACAATGCATTTCTGGTCCATCGAGGCTCCTGCAAAACAGTCCATAGGAGATATGAACACCTGAACCCAGGTCAGAGAGAGGGGGATTCTTAGCGAGAGCTTAGGGCTATTTGATCCTTTTGTGCATGGGTGAAACTTAGGCAGGAAATCCCCCCCAAATTTTCCTACATTTTATATCAAATGAGCACGGTTTGAGGAAGGAGAAAGAAAGCATGACTTACCTAGGCCATGGCTTTCAGAATAGCAAGGACCCATGAGTCCTCCAGGTTCCTCTCCTGGGGCAGGGTGAGTCCTGAGAAGGCAGAGAACCAAGGAGGGAAGAGAAAACATGAGAGGTCAGGCTGCCTCCCGGAAAGACAGGTTGCAATTCTCTTCCTCCCTCATCTCGTGCCAGCCTTCGGGTGTTCATGAAAATACTGAGCATCTTGGACAGATTTCTAAAATGTCCCTCACCCCCAAATTCTGCTCCTCCCATGTTACATGCCCTGCATGATTATAATTTTAATTCTTGGGACGCCTGGGTGGCTCAGTCGATTAAGTATCTGCTTCAGCTCAGGTCATGATCTCAGGGTCGTGAGATTGAGCCCCGTGTCTTTCCCCTCCCTCTCCCTCTCCCTCTGCTCCTCCCCCTGCTCTTGCTCTGTGTGGGGGCTCGCTCTCTCACATACATACATACATAAAATCTTTTTTTTTTTAAGTTTTAAAATAGGAATAAAATAGAACAATTGATAAGTCCTAATTAATATTTGGAAGAAAATTTCCTTGGGCTAAAAAAAGGACATGAGACTATCTAAGCATATCCTACTTAACTTCCTGAATTCTAAGGATAGAAACTCTTGCCAAATGCCAGGACAGAAGCAGTTACTGTGGTAGGCAGAATTACAGGCCTCCAAAGATGTCTCTGTCCTAACCCCAGAAACCTGTTATGTTAGTAGCAAGGGGGAGTTAAGTTGCGGGTAAATCTAAGATTGTTAATCAGCTGAATTTAAGACAAGATTATCCTGGATTGTCCACAGGAGCCATCATAATCACAAGGATCCTTAAAGGTGGGAGAGGCCAAAGAATCAGTGTCAGAACGATGCAATGTGAGAAAGACTCAACAAGCTATTGCTGCCATTGAGGATGGAAAGGGGCCACACCAAGGAATGCAGGCAGCCTCTAGAAGCCAAAATTTGAAGTTACATAATTTAGGATGGTTTTGGCTACAAGTTTACAAAATATGCAACTAAAAGTAATTTCAGCAATAAAGGTTTATTTTTTTTTTTACATAACAAGGCTTCACAGAGACAGTTCCAGAATTGGCCTGGTAATTCTGGGTCAGCTTCTCTGAGGTCCTCGGTTTTCTCCTTTTGGTTCCAACAAGGCTACAACAGCTCCAGGCATTATGTTCTCATAGGAGAATGTTTAAAAGCAGATGAGAGGAGATGGAGTCTTCCTGATAGATCTGTCTCTTCTGAATGAGAAAAATCTGTCCCAGAAGCCCCTACAGATCCCTGGAACATACTGGCCTTACCCTGGAACATAGGAGCCATCCTGAGCTGCAGAAGATGCTGAAAAGTTAGCATCTGATATCTTCAGAGTCTAAGGCAAGACACAGATGCTGCCAGTAGGAAGGGGAATTGGGTATGGCTGCCATGTAGGCAACCGGCCCCTTCTGTTTGTGACAAAAGTGATGAAAGATAATCTAAAACAACATAGAAATTGAGAAGTATTACCTTAAATTTTGTTTATTCTTGGGTCAGGAAGAAATAAAAACAGATTATTTTAAGATAATCACTTTCTAATTTCATTATTTTCGCTTTTTATTTTGTACCTTTGTTCTTTCATCACCTCAGTGTTTGGTATTGTCTTTTCTGGCTTCTTGAATAGTACATTTAATATATTTGAGAATAATCTTTCAGGTTTTCATGCTTTGCATGCATTTAAAAGCCATAAAAATTCTTCTGAGTAACTTTAGCCACATCCTGCAACTCCTGGAATGTAAATCTCTCAATTGTCATTCTTTTCATTACCATGCATGATAATTTGCATAATTTATTATTAACCCAAGAGTAATGGGGTACTGGCTGGCTTAGTCAGTCGAGCATATGACTCTTGATCTTAGGGTCAAGAGTTTGAGGCCCACACTGGGTGTGGTGCCTATTTAAAAAAAAAAAAAAAGTTGAACCGAAGAGTAATTTGGCTGGTTTTTTGTTTTTTGTTTTCAATTGCCAAGAAAATTAAAACTTCTGGCTGTTGTTAAAATTATTACAGTGTGGTTAGAAAATGTGATCCTGTAATATGTTAGACAATTTTTTTTCCCAAACTTTCCTTGCTTCTTCAGTAATTATGGTCTAAACAATTTATATCTGTAAAATTTTTCATTATTAATCTTATGACCCGGGATAAAGGATAGCTTGAATGAAGGCATTCCCATTTGCATTACATTCTTCAAGTTTTTCTGCAAAATATAAGAAGTTGGGACTAGCCTAAGCTAATGGGCTCTCCCCATTATTTCCATTGATATGGTTGCTTGCTAACATAAATTCTCTGATGATTAATAAAGGATAAGTGCTAATGGAAGGCTTTTCTACATTTATTATGTTCACTTGTGTTTCTTTATTATGCATTCTCTGGTGTTGAACAGTAGCTGAATCATGATGTAAAGTCCTCCCACATTCCTTATATTTACAAGACTTTTCCTCAGTATGAATTACCTGATGCTGAATCAGTTGTGAGCAATGACTGAAGGCCTTTCGACATTCCTTACATTCATATGGTTTCTCACCTGTATGAATTCTATAATGTACAGTAAGATGTGAGACCCGTTTGAAAGCCCTACCGCAAACCCTACATTGGTAGGGTTTCTCTCCAGTGTGAATTCTCTGATGTTGCTTAAGTTGTGAGCTCACCCTAAAGGCCTTCCCACATGCCTTGCATTCATAGGGTTTCTCACCAGTATGGATTCTCTGATGTCTAATAAGAGTTGAGCCTTGATTAAAGGCCTTCCCACATTCCTTACATTCATAGAGTTTCTTGCCCGTATGAATAGTCTGATGTTGAATCAACTGAGACCGATGACTAAAGGTCTTCCCACATTCCTTGCATGCATAGGGTTTTTCACCAGTATGAATTCTATAATGTACTTTAAGATGTGAGATCCTATTGAAGGCCTTGCCACATTCCTTACATTGATAGGGTTTCTCAGCAGTATGAATTCGTTGATGTTCAATCAGCTGTGAACTTCGACTAAAGGCCTTTGCACAATCCTTACATTCATAAGGTTTCTCACCAGTATGAACCCTCTGATGTTGTATGAAATTTGAACCAGAATTGAAGGCCTTTCCACATTCGTTACATTCATAGGGTTTCTTGCCAGAATGAATATTCTCATGTTGAATTAGTCGTGAGCCATACTTAAAGGCCTTGCCACATTCCTTACATTTATAGGGTTTCTCATTAGCATGAATTCCTTGATGATTAATAAGGAAGTCCTCCTGCCAGAAGTCTTTTCTACATTCGTTATATTCATAGGGTTTTTCTCCACGATGAGTTTTCTGATAAAAAGGAAATGATCCTTGTTGGTTTAAAGTGGCTATTTCTTCATGATTGATTATCATTTGACTCAAATGTCCATCTGGATTTCCCTGTTGTTTGTCCAACTGGCTTCTATATTCCCAGTCATCTTGGAACCTTGAGCACTCAAGACCGTAACTTGTGAGGCTTTCCATTATCTCCCACTGTGGCGACTGTATTTCATAAATATGCTGCTCTGGAGAGGATACCTTGGTATCATACCTGGACTCCAGCACTGGAAAAAAAAAAAAAAAACATGTTTTTTTCCTTTTCCAGAAAAAGGAACTTTTATTTTTAAGAGTTTTTTTTTTATTTATTTGTTTGACAGAGAAAGACACAGCGAGAGAGGGAACACAAGCAAGGGAAGTGGGAGAGGGAGAAGCAGGCCTCCCGCCGAGCAGGGAGCCTGATGCAGGGCTCAATCCCAAGACCCTGGGACCATGACCTGAGCCGAAGGCAGACGCTTAACAACTGAGCCACCCAGGCGCCCCCAGAAAAAGGAAATTCTATAGTGAAAACCAGGAAACTTAAACTCATGAGTATACCTATAAGCTCTTGAATGTGGCTAGGCAATTTGAAAATGGGTAAGTAGAAGAGAGGCAGAGGAAATACCATAAATTGAGATGAAGAAGTCAGAGGGAGGTTGTAAGAGTAGTTCTAAAATGTTAGTGTGGATCAGAATCAGCTCTGAACCACGTTTTTAAACAAATGAATGTTTCTATGAACCCCGAGAAAACACATATAATCTAGAGTGACAAGAAATCACTGGTTGCCTGGGGCTGGGTAAATGAGCAATTGTGTAGAAGGTGCACAAGGGAACTTTTCAGGGCGATGAAAATGCTCTCTAGCCTGTGGTTACGGTTATGCCAGTATATATGTTTGTCCATACTCATCAAGATACTGTACTTAAAATGCATGCACTTTATTGAATACAAATTATACCTCAATGAAGCAGATTTTAAAAAATGACGGGGAAGGGTAGCTGGATCTTCATCCGGCCAGAGGCACGCCACGGTGTATCTGCCAGGTGAGGTGGTAGGACAGGAAGGCTGGTCTCGCCTGTCCACTGGAGGTTACAGTAACACAGCTGTGGCATTCTACTGTGATGCCTTCTACCTCTGAAGTTCAGCTGAGTACCATGGCTTAGACCTAGTGTCTACTAAACCAGTCTCTGCTGGACCTTTCCACTGCCTAAATGTGACGGTGGAAAAAGAAGGGCCCTGTTCCTTGTTTAGAGAATTAGGCCCCAACCTAATGGAGGTGGCTTCTTCAGAGCAACATTCTCTGCTGCCTATTCAAACTGCAGGGAAAAGTCAAATGGTGTATTTGATCCTGGTTTTACCTATTACATGATTTCAGTTGCAGTAGCCTGTTTTATGTAATCACAGCAACCAAATCCATTTGGCTAATAAAGAACTGGTTACAGCTTAATGCAAGGAACTATGGGGAAAGCAAATGGGTGCTTTTGAATGTGCTTATGAAGTGTAGTAGACAGGGACGCCTGGGTGGCTCAGTCGTTAAGCGTCTGCCTTCGGCTCAGGTCATGATCCCATTGGGCTCCCTGCTCAGCGGGAGGCCTGCTTCTCCCTCTCCCACTCCCTGAGTTTGTGTTCCCTCTGTGTCAAAAAATAAATAAAAATTGGGCGCCTGGGTGGCTCAGTTGGTTAAGCGACTGCCTTCGGCTCAGGTCATGACCCTGGAGTCCCGGGATCAAGTCCCGCATCGGGCTCCCTGCTCGGCAGGGAGTCTGCTTCTCCCTCTGACCCTCTTCCCTCTCATGCTCTATTTCATTCTCTCTCTCAAATAAAAATCTTTAAAAAAATAAAAATAAATAAATAAAAATCTTTTTTAAAAAATAAAGTGTAGTAGACAGGGATGCCTTGGTGGCTCAGATGGTTAAGCATCTGCCTTCGGCTCAGGTTATGATCTCGGGGTCCTGGGATTGAGCCCCATGTGGGGCTCCCTGCTCAGCAGGGAGCCTACTTCTTCCTCTGCCTGCCGCCCTCCCTGCATGTGCATGCGCTCTCTCTCTCTCTCTCTCTCTGATAAATAATAAATAAACAAACAAGTAAAATCTTTAAAAAAAAAAAAGAAAGTGTAGTAGACAGATGACCAAAGAGGATTTTATAGGAGCAGGTCTGCTTCATATGGTGGCATATCACAGAACATTATTCATTTGGTTACTTGTGAAAGTATTAAGCAAAAACTACTAGAATAAAAAGTTAGTTTGACAATGAAACATGATGACGGGTCTATGAAAGAAATATCAGATTTTGTGGGAATGATGCCACTGTCCTGTCAAAAACTTGTACTGTAACCACAGTGCGTCCACATGAAGTTGTAAGAACAAGACTACATGACGAGGACACAAAGTACAGATATTTTTTCAGACACCATGTCTGGTTGTTTTTTTAATTTTTTTAAAAGGTTTTATTTATTTATTTGAGACAGAGAGCATACAAGCAGGGGGAGCAGCAGACAGAGGGACAGGGAGAGGCAGGCTTCCTGCCAAGCAGGGAGCCCGATGCAGGGCTCGATCCCAGGACCCTGGGATCATGACCTGAGCCAAAAGAAGATGCTTAACCGACTGAGCCACCCAGGTGCCCCTGTCTGGTTGTTCAGAAGGATGGTTTTGGGTCTCTTCACTGTGGTCTGACAATTCTAGTGAGACAGATTCCAAATATGGCCATTATGATGGCAACCTGTGAATTGGTGGTTGAGCTACTCAACTGTTAGCAACATCTGCCTGCCGTCCTACGAAGGACAACCAAAAGACTACATGGAAACTGGAACATGGAAAATGAAGGCCAACCTGGTAGAAAGAGAAAACAAGTTTGGGAACATTTAACTATGCCCAAATGGAAATCTGGTTTTCGGAATTAAAGTAAGGTACATTACTTGCTTTTTGGGCAATGTGGAAAACGGACGTGCCACTGAAAACAACCCTCTCCCCAGACTTCCACTTTTTCCATTTTTCTATCACAGATTGTATTGATTTATGGCAGCGTATGGTGTTGTTTACTATATGAGCCCTTTTACATTCATCTAAATTAAGCCATCCCTAATTATATACTGTGTTGTAAGCATCCAAAGATAGTACTGACAGCCGTAATTTTCCGACTTCTGTTCAACTCCCTGTAAAGTTGCAAAATAGCAACAAGAATAGTGAGGTCTTTTGTATTAATGTTTCCCTGACAGGGACTGGCAGAGTATTTTAAATTTAATGACTTAGCATTAGTAGTCACTGTTTTGGATAACCAAAGAAATAGGTCTAAAAAATCTTACAGATAGTCTTAGCATCAAGATATTTTAGTTCCCTCATATGAACCTCAAGGGATCCCAATAGCCAAAATAATCTTGAAAAAGACAAACAAAGTTGGAGGTCTCACACTTCCTGATTTCAAAACATACTGCAAAGCCACAGTAATCAAAACAGTGTGGTACCAGCAAAAAGGCAGACATAGACAAATGGAACAGAATTAGAGGGCCCAGAAATAAACCCCCATGCATATGGGCAAATGATCTTTGATAGGGTGCCAAGACAACACAATGAGGAAAGGACAGTCTCTTTAACAAATGGTTCTGAAGAAATTGGGTAGCCACATGCAAAAAAATGAAGCAGGACCCTTACCTTACACCATATACAAAAATTAACTCAAAATGGATTAAAGACCTAAATGTAAGACCTAAAAATGTTAAGTTCCTAGAAGAAAGCACAGGGGGAAAACTTCATGACATTGCATTTGGCAATGATTTCTTGGATATGGCACTAAAGGCCCAGGTAGCAAAAGCAAAAACAGACACGAGACTACATCAAGCTTAAAAAACTTTCGTGCATCAAAGGAAACAATCAAAAAAGTAAAAAGGCAACCTTCAGAATAGAAAATATTTCTAAATCATGTATCTGATAAAAGGTTACTATCCAGGATATATAAAGGACTCCTACAATTCAACAACAACAAAAAAACTACCCTATTAAAAAATTGGCAAAGAACCTGAATAGACATTTCTCGCATGCATTCTTTCTCTCTCTCCCTAAAAATAAATAAATACAACTTTTAAAAAAAGAAAGAGGGCGCCTGGGTGGCTCAGTTGGTTAAGCAACTGCCTTCAGCTCAGGTCATGATCCTGGAGTCCTGGGATCGAGTCCCACATCGGGCTCCCTGCTCAGCAGGGAGTCTGCTTCTCCCTCTGACCCTCCCCCCTCTCGTGCTCTCTGTCTCTCATTCTCTCTCTCAAATAAAGAAATAAAATCTTTAAAAGAAAGAAAGAACAGTATGGAGGGGCGCCTGGCTGGCTCAGTTGGAAGAGCATAAAACTCTTGATCTCAGGGTCATGAGTTCGAGCCCCATGTTGGGTACAGATTACTAAAACAACAACAACGACAACAGTAGGGAGAGTTCTAAAAAAATTAAAAATAGAATTACCATATAATACAGCAATTCTGTATTATAGTCTAAGTATATATCCCAAAGAACTGAAAGAATCTGAAAGAGACACCTGCACACCCATGTTTACTGCAACATTATTGACAATAGCCAAGAGGTGGAAGCCACCCAAATGTCCATTGACAGATGAATGGATAAAAAAGTTGTGCAACATACACATAGCCTTAAAATTGAAGGAAATCCTGTCACATGTTACAACATGGACTAACCTTAAGGACATCAGGCTAAGTGAAAGAAGCCAGACTCTAAAGGCCACACATTATATGACTCCATTTATGTGAAATATCCATAATGAGCAATTCCACAGAGACAGAAAGCAGGTTACTGGTTGCCGGGGCTGGGGGGGGAGGGCAGTGAGGAGACTACTTAAGTATGGGGTCTCCTCTGGAGTGTGTTTAGGAAAAACACACCTCTCAACACGACTCTACTATACATACTTCCCTTCTGACGCTTCTGGTGACAAAATGTGTGCCAAGCGCTTCTCCAACTCTGGTGGATACCAACTGTGTGTCCTACAGATTTAAGTCAATTTTTATACTGTCCTTCTGCAAAAAGCATCAGATCCCACAGATTAAGAGCTCAGGCCCACAGACTACCTCTGCTCCCTTCACCCCCCACCCCAATAAACTGGAGGTTCCCACAACCCCTCCTGGGGTTCAATCATTTGATAGACTGGCTTACAGAATTCAGGAAAATGGTTTACTTACTAGATTACCAGTTTACTACAAAGAATATAACTCATCAGTCAGATGAACGAAATGCACAGGACAAGGTACAGGGGGCGAGGCGGAGATTTTCCACCCTCTCCAGGAACACTACCCTCCCAGTACCTCCACATGCTCGCCAACCTGGAAGCTCTCCAAACACTGTACTTTAGGGATTTTTTTATGGAAGCTTCATTACATAGGCGGGATTGATTAAATCATTGCCCTTTGGTGATTCAGTCAACCTCCAGTCCCTCCAGAGTTTGGGGGATAGGGCTGAGAGTTCCAAGCCTCTAATTACAAAATAGGTTTTTCTCTCAACCAGGCCCCATCCTGAAGCTATCAGGTGACCCCAACCACAGTCATCTCATTAGCATACAAGAAGACTTATTACTTCAGAGACTCCAAGGGTTTTAAGAGCAGTGTGCCAGAAAACCAGGGTGAAAACCACAGGGTGATAAAAAAATTCTGAAACTAGATAATGGTGATATTGCACAACACTGTAAATGTACTAAATGCCAATGTACTATACACCTTAAAGTGGTTAAAAAGATGAATTTTGTTATGTATATTTTACAGTGATTTTTTTAAAAAATTAAAAAGAGCAGAAAAAATATAAATTACCACACTGACTCAAGAAATGCAACATTTGAACGTTTAGATTCAGTATTCAGTATCAGGAGTTCAAGTATTAGGGAATCTATTCATATAATCCAGACTTCATAGATTAAAATAAGAAAACTCAACGTGAAAAGGTGGATACTTCTTTAACCAAATAAAATATCTCTATTTCATTCCTAAATGTGATATTATGCTTACTGAAAAGACACAAAAAACATTTCTATTAAGGTCAAGAACAAACTTAGGATGTAAACTACCCCCATTAACATTGTCCTGGGGGTACTACATAATCTTCCTACTCAGGCAAAAGGGAAAAAAAACCCAAGAGCTATAAAAATGCAAAAAGATTATCATTTGCAGATGATATGACTGACTATTTGGAAAGCTCAAGAGTATTACATGAAAAACTGTTGTAAATAATGAGAAAATTCAGTAAGTTGGATTAACTACAAAATTAATCTGAAGCTATGAATGGCTTTTGCCAGGTATAAAAAACAACTGGTTGGCATATAATAGGGATGAAAAGGGCCCCATTTCCAATAACAGCAATAAATATATACTACCTAGCAATAAATATCATAAGAAATATACAAGAGCCATATAAATAAAATTTTAAAACCACCAGGGGGTGGAGATAAATGAAGGGAAAGCCTATCATTTTCTTAAATAGATAAAAATCAATTAAAAAAAATAAGTTTTCTCCTCAATCTGAAAATTTACTATGATCTCCAGTAAGAATAATTACATGATTTTTTTTAAACCAGATATTCTAATTTTAAAGTTCAGATGGAAAAATAAATGAGTATAGCCAGGAAAATTCTGAAAAATAAGAATGAGGAGGAACTAGGCTACCAGATACTTAAAACCTTCAATAATTAAAACAGTATGGTATTGGACACATAGTTAGACAAAGAGATTAATGAAACAGACCAAAAAAGTCGAAAAATATATCCAGAGGCAACAGAGTAGATGATAAAGGTGGCCATGTAGATTAGTGGTGAAAAGGTAAAATGAGCTAATAAATGCTGTTTGAATAAACGGATAACAACCCGGAAAACAGTGTGAAATCACATCTTGCACTCAGGATAAACTCCACAGGGATCATAAATAGCACCATAAATATGCCAGGAAAAAAATCACAAGAGACGCATTTATAATGTCAAAGGGGAAAGTCCTCTTTGACTATGATGTAAACCCACAGATCTAAGAAATAAATAAAACTCAGCACCCCAAACAATCAAACATAAACTGTCAAACTAAAATGACAAAAACAAAAGCAAAAATGGTATTACGGGTGTGGCTGGCAGAATACTGGCCTCCCAAAGATGCCAGTGAAGACACTGGGTTATGCAGCAGCACGTATCTTCTCTCCTTTTTCTTTTTTTTTTAAAGATTTTATTTATTTATTTGTCAGAGAGAGAGAGTGAGTGAGCACACAAGCAGGGGGAGTGGCAGGCAGAGGGAGAAGCAGGCTCCCCACTGAGCAAGGAGCCCCCAATGCAGGACTCAGTCCCAGGACCCTGGGATCACAACCTGAGCAGAAGGCAGACGCCCAACCGACTGAGCCACCCAGGTGCCCCTGTATCTTCTCTCCTGATGTTCACTCACACTTGACCTCATTCATTCCCAGGGGCCAACTACCACTTCAATGTGGATGAATCTACACGTCTGTAATGTTTAATTCTTGGTTGCCCATCTGAAATTCTCTTATAGTACATTGTATGTGGTGGAGACTGTTTCTTGTGGAAACTGCTTATCAACCAACACATTCTTGGTCTTGCATTGTCACACTTGACTTTGAACTTTGGTTCTCAATCAGGGAAGATTTTGCCCCCTGGGGGACATATGGTAATATCTGGAACATTTCTGATTGTCACAACCGAAGGGAGGGGGGGTTATACTCGCAACTAATGAGTACAAGCCAGGGAGGCTGCTAAACATCCTACAGTCCACTGGACAGCCCCTCTGTGTCAACAATGCTGAGGCTGAGCAACCCTCCATCCAGAGCAAGAACACCCCAGGCAGAGGGAACAGAAAGGCAAGAAGCCCTGAGGCAGGAACATGCTTTCTGTATCAAAGTTGGGGAGGGTAAATTTGTACTGTCTGCTCTTATGCTACCACAGCATAGCTGAGTAGTTGTGACAGAGACCATATATGGCCCACAAAGGCCACAAATATTTCCTCTCTGGCCCTTTAAAGAAAACACTTGCCAACCCCTACATTAAAGGTATAGCAAAGAGGCTTGTGTGGCTGCAGCCGAATGAGCAACAAGGAGAGGAGCAGGAGAGGAAATCAGAGAGGAAGTGGGACGCTGATCACAGAGCAACACAGTCCAACAGAACTTTCTATGATGCCGAAAATATTCGATTCCACCCTAATATAGGAGCTACTAGCTACCCAAAGCTACTGAGCATTTGAAATGTGGCTATAGGCTACCATGGAATGGAATGTTACATTTTATTTAATTTTAGTTAAAGTTAAAATTTAAACAGCACACTTGGCTGGTGGCTATTATATGAGACAGCACATAGAGGCTTCTAGGGCATGGTATCAATTTTGGATTTTCTCTTGAGTGAGATGGGAATTTACTAGTAGGTCTTGAGCAGCGATGCAATACACCCTCACTTTGGCTGCTGTGTAGACGATACACTGTAGTGGACAAGAATAGAAGCAGAGGGATGGGGAGGCTATTGCAATAGTCCAAGCCAAAGATGATGGTGGCGTGGATGGAATGGTAGCAGTGGTATTGGTGAGAAGTGGTTAAATTCAGGACATATTTCAAGGTAGAGAAAACAGGCCTTGCTGACAAACTGAGTAAGTACATGAGAGAGAAAAGTCAAGAATGCTTTAAGAGTTTTTGACTTGAGGGGCGCCTGGGTGGCTCCGTCGTTAAGCATCTGCCTTCGGCTCAGGTCATGATCCCAGGGTCCTGGGATCGAGCCCCGCATCGGGCTCACTGCTTGGCAGGAAGCCTGCTTCTCCCTCTCCCACTCCCCCTGCTTGTGTTCCCTCTCTCGCTATGTCTCTGTCAAATAAATAAAATCTCAAAAAAAAATTTTTTTTTGACTTAAGCAAGTATAAGAATCAAGTACCCTATTACTAAAGTGTGGAAGAAAGAGGGAAGAGTTGGGGGCGCCTGGGTGGCTCAGGCGGTTAAGCACCTGCCTTCGGCTCAGGTCATGATCCCAGGGTCCTGGGATCAAGCCCGTCAGGCTCCCTGCTCAGCGGAGAGCATGCTTCTTCCTCTCCCTCTCCCTGCTGTTCTGCCTACTTGTGCTCTCTCTCTCTGTGTCAAATAAATAAATAAAATAAAATCCTAAAAAAAAAAAAGAAAGAGGGAAGAGCAAATTGATCCAGAACCCCTTTCTGGACTTGTTAAGTTCAAAGTCCCCAGTGAACACTGAAGTGGATATGATAGAAGGCAGCTGGGCATAAGTATCTGGAGTTTAAAGGAAAAGCTAAGGATGATGGAAATGTTCTGTATCTGCATCGTCCAACACAGCAGGCACAAGCCACAGAGTGGCTACTGAACTTCTGAAATGTGGCAAAGTGCAACTGAGGTACTGATCTTCTTAATGTATTTAATTGTAATTAATTTAAATTACAACAGCCACATGGGGCCAGTGGCTCCATACTATACAACACAGGTACAAAAAGTATTTAAAGCACGGTAATGGAGAGGGTCTTAGGAAATGAAGATAAACAGGAAAGAAGAAACCCAAGTTTGAGCCCTGGGGGCCTCCAACATTTAAAGAAAGTGAGACAATCCCATCAGAGGAGGCTGAAGATGGTTTAATGAGGAGGTAGTGATGTCCCAAATACACAGAAATGTTTCAGGAAGAAAGGAACGACCACTTTTGTGAAATGCTGCTGACACACTCCAAGAGATGATAACTGGGACCTGACCTCTGAGTTGGGCATCTTGGAGGGAAAGTTTTCTACCTCAAAGGTCTTCTTTTCTCTTCCACCCACTAGATGGTTATCTGTGGTAGTTTCTCTCTTCCTACCCAGGCCTCACTCACCTGGACACAGGCCTCCTCTGGACATTTTCTCTACCACCCAGGGCTCTTTGCCTTGCTCCAGGAAGGAGATCACATCAGGTTTGGCGATGGCAAGACCTGGATGTGAGAAAAAACATGCCACCCGGTTATGGTGTGGGGCCCCAGAATTCAGATCCAGGATGTGGTCGGCGAGCAGAAGAGACCAGAGGAAGATGTGACAGTCACCTGAGGGTTGGGGAAGATGTAGTATCAACCCAGGGAGCTGCTCTTTGACCACTCAAAAGGTACCCGGAAATGGATAAGGAACAGATACACCGAGGGTAACATGCAAACTAACATGCCAGGTCATCTTACCCAGTGAGACCAGGTTGCTATAGGTCTCCAACATCACGTCTCTGTACAAATCCCTCTGAGTGGGTGCAAGCTGTTCCCATTCTTCTTGGGAGAAGACTATGGCCACATCCCTGAACAAGTCTGACTCCTGAAACAACAGGCAGGTATGTTATTGGCATATTTCAAGGAAATGTTTCTTGGTGGGATGAGAGGAGACGGAGGAAGGAGGTCTTTGCAGGAATGGGGTGTTCTGGTGAAAAAGAAGGCTGGGGCTGGAGGCCTCCGACGTGAGCAGGTTACAAGAGAGGGTCGGCATGAGTAAAACAGTGTTGAGATGTTCTTGAGCATTACTTTTCACTACAAACCCAAACTCTGTACATAGATCTGGGAGGAAAATTAAAACTCAGCCAAGTGGAGTTTCCCCAGTTGTGACAAGCAGTATACTAAAGCACGTTGCCTACTCTGTCCTTGGCATATAATAAATTCTCAATGAGGAGCACCTGGGTGGCTCAGTCGTTAAGCATCTGCCTTTGGCTCAGGTCATGGTCCCAGGGTCCTGGGATCGAGCCCCGCGTTGGGCTCCCTGCTCTGTGGGAAGCCTGCGTCTCCCTCTCCCACTCCCCCTGCTTGTGTTCCCTCTCTCACTGTGTCTCTGTCAAATAAATAAATAAAATCTTAAAAAAAAATAAATGTGCTCCTCCTCAATGAGAGGCCTATAATTTCTACTTTTGTACAACAACAACAAAACAAACCAACAATTTTTGATAGACTTACCCTCAAATGTTTTATTAATGTTTCCTATCTTAGAAAGTATGATTTTCATATACATTGAGAATTATTTGAAGACAGAGGTTCATCATTATGTCAGAACATATCAAAGCATTCTGCCTTATGAGAAAAATCTTAAATTAAGATTACTTTTATTAGCTGTACAATTTTCTATCAAGTGAAAAAATGACTCAACCATTCTCTTATTTTGGATGCAGAGGCTGGATCAGATCTCTGAAGGCTCTTCCAAGCTCTGCCTACCTGGATTCTGAAAAATTCATCCATCTGGTTGGTTGCCTCACAACCCGCTCACCTCTGTACTTCTCTCGTTCTCAAGCTGAAGAAGCTGCTATAGAATGACCCAATTCAAATGCTCTGTTTGACCTCAAATTGGACCTGAATTCTGGCATCTAATCTCCTACAGATACCCAGCTAAGAGATCGTGCCTCACACTGACATTGAGACCAACCAAGACCTGTTCCCATGCTTTTTCATGTCATATCCCTCATAAGTATTCATCTCCATTTCATCAAACCTTGGCTTTCAGTTTATACAAGGAAATGGATTTCTGCTCTATCTAGCCTCCTGGCAGAATACCACACCATCAGAAGATATGGAATGCTATACAGAATGAACCCATGGGCATTGGTCAGAGTGGAGGGCGCAGTGGGAGAGGGTACCAGCGGCCTGGCCTTTATAGTCCCTAAAATGGGAACCTCTGAGAACTGGATTCTTGGATGAAACCCAGATGGAGGCTTCAAGATAAACAAAGCAAATATTTACATGATTTTAAAACTCACAAGGGACATGACTTTTAGAATGTCATGGGCTGATGGGTCCTCCTGCAGGTTCCTCTCTTGGGGAAGGGCAGAGTCCTGAGATGGCCGAGCTGGGGGAGGAAAGAGCAAACATGAGAGGCCAAGCTTGCCTTCTAGCTCCCAGAATGCCATGGTTACAAGCCCCCAGCTTTTTGTCCCCCGCTTCCTACAAAAACTGGAGCTGGAACACTGTAGCCCTTACCCAACTCTAGGAAACATAGCTTTAGCTGTCACAATGAGACAGGGAACCAGTGGCCTTTTCTCTCCCACTTCCCCTAAATATCCAGAGAATTCCACCTTGTTACTGATGCAGATCTGTGATGGGGATGCTCAGTCCTGGTTCAGTGACTAAGACCACACGGTGTCCCAAGGACAAGAAAGGCTGTCCTCAGGCCAGGGAGCACAGCCTGCCTGATCAGCATCAGCCCAGCCCACAGTGAAGCCTTCCCAGAAATAGACCATTTAACTCTTTCGTACCCACAATGTAACACCTCCCTGGCTCTTACTCGACTTCCAAATTCACAAAGAACCTTACAGCCCTTCCTAAGGCCTGGTGGACACCACTTTGTGGACCCTGCCTTGAGTCAACAAATGGGGTGTGGCTGCAATGGGCAAATTAGATGGCTCCATTACCATCACATAAATGTACCCTTGCACAGAGACTAACGGTGAGCAAAGCTGTGTGCACAAAATTTACTGAAAAAGAGAACAAAAATTAGTACATAACAGTCCACAAAAGTAGGCAAGTGGTTGAATCACTGTCGGCACAGCCATACGATGGAACACCAAACAACTATCAAAAATTATGTGGGGCAACATTAACTGACAAAAAAAGATATTCACAAGTGGTCTCTTTATACAACATGAGAACATTCTGCAAAAGAGGTCAAACCACTCACCTACTGATTGGCACATGGGCTTAAAAAAAGAACTGGAAAAAAAATAATCCAACTATTAAGAATGATGTCATTTAACCACTTTGTGAGTTCATCATTAAACGAGTAGTATTCTATAAAGGAACTCAGAACAATGCCTGGCATGTTACAAATATTTAATTCTAAGAAATATGTAAATGAAGTAATTGATCATTCCTTAACATGTAATAGAAATTTTTTTCTTATTATGACCACTGCCTTAACAGTATCTGTAATAGCTTTATGATATTTTATTACATTAGTGGCCCATGATTTACTCAACCATTTCCCCATTGTTGGACAAAGATCTTTTACAAGATCATCTAAAATGTTCTCAAATTTAAGTCTCTGCTTCTGAACTGGTAGCGCTAAATATTTTGAGGTCTTTGCAACTGTTTGATAATCTTATGAAACAAGACTTTGTCCCAAATTAAAAAAAAAAGGCACGCGTAGGAAAGACTGTAAAACATCGAGCAGCACTTTTGGGAGTCGGGGACCCCTTCACACCCACCTAAGGGGTCCACATACCCGGGGCTACGAGCCTGGACGCGGAGGCCGACGGGAAATGTAGTCCAGAGCCCGGAAAGCCGCAGACCGACGCTGGGGCGAAACGTTCCGGTTCTTCCCAGGCCCGAGATACGCCCGGCCGTGGAGCCCGCTCCCGCAGGGACCCCGGCGCGCCTGGCAAGCTCCAGAGGCCCTCACCTGCCGCGTCCTCGGGTTCAGGTGCCCCCGTGGCCGCGCTCCCCGCAGCCCCGGGTGCGTTTCCTCCCCGGTATCGGCGGACCCGCCGCCAGGAGCCGGAAGATGGCGCAGGCGCACAAAGCACCGCCGATGCTGCCTGGCGAGCGGGTCATCGCCGCAGTCCCTTCTGGGAAACGTAGTCTCTAGGCGCAAAGGCCTATAGCTAAACCGCAGGGCCGGATCTCGCGATGTTCCGGGGCGGGTGGGCGGGGCCCGGTGTGCTCCCGTGGTGGCGGGCGGTGCTCGAGGGAGCGCGTTGGAGTCCGGGGGTCCCCCGAGAGGGTCTGCGCCTCGGGTGCGCTGTGTGGGCGCCGTCGCGTCTCTGGTGGCGGGGACGATGTGCGTCGTGTGCAGTGTGGACCCCGTGGGCACAAGAGAGAGAGAAATAAAGGGTGACGGAAGGTAAAGAAGAACCTGTGATGTTGGATTGATACAAACTCATGATTAAAAATTTGGGTGTCTATCTCATGCAGGTGATCAAGGTTAACATCAATAGTGATGTCATTTTGGTAGTTCATAGTCTTGATGAGATGTGATGAAAATGGCATTTAACCTCTGTGGTCTTGCTCTCCAAAACACATAACCCTAGTATAACAAGAAAACGTCGGACAAATGCCAATTCAGGAGACGTTCTACATAACACCTGACCAGAACTCCTCAAAACTGTAACGGTCATTAAAAACAGAGAAAGTCTGAGAAACCATGACAACCGAGAGGAGCCTAATGGGACATGACTGCTAAAGATAATGTATCCTGAATGAGATCCTGGAACAGAAAAAGGATATTAGATAAAAACTATGAAAACTACATATGAATGAAGTATGGACATTAGTTAATAATGTTTCAGTGTTGGCTCATTAATTGTAACAAAAGCACCATAATAACATGCTAATAGTAGGGGAAATTAGGTATAGGGTATTTGGGGATTCTGTACTATCTTTGCAGTTACTCTGTAAATCAAAAAACTTCTAAAATAAAAAAGCTTGAACTTCCTCATTAAAGTCTTATCATTTCCTTTCAAAAATGTGTTTTTATATTTTCTGTTTCTATTTGGTGAATGGGCCTGGAAGCAATGATGCCCTGTAGTAATGAGCATAAACCTAGTGCCCAGACCTTGGTTTCTAAATACCATTCACTAATAAGAGAAACCAAAGCTTCTTGGAGAAGTGTTTGATTCTAGGACTAGAACAGGGAGAGTCCACAATCAGTATGAGATATCTTTTTGTGCCAAAAAATTAGGGAAATGCTCCCCTGCTAAGCAGGGGGCCCGAGGTGGGGCTCAATCCCAGGACTCTTGAGCCGAAGGCAGACGCTTAACTGACCGAGCCACCCAGGCACCCTTGGATTTTGTATATATTTTAAAGCTGGAGTAACAGGATTGGCTGATGTATTGGGTGAAATAACAAGAGAAAGAGGAGTAGTGAAAGATACCACCAGGGAATTCTGAGCTGAATAACTGTTAGAACAAATGTCATTAACTAAGATAGAAACACCTGAGAGGGGTACATCTTTGGAGGTAAGAATGGGTGGTTAGGAATGTGATAGATTGAAATGTCTGTGAGACAAACAAGTGGAAATACTGAGTGTCAGTTTAGGGGCAGTGTCTGGGAAATACTTTTATCATGTAGCAAGTTTATATTGTTATGTACTGAGGCAAATCAATGTTTTTCATTTATTCTCTCTACCTTTTATTTTGCTCAGAAGTTGTCTTCCTACCCTAAATTATAAATACTCATCTTTATTTTTCTGTCGAACTTTATGTGGATATTTAAAAATGCAAGTACTTCAATCTGTTTGCAGTTTGTTATGCTGTCAAGTGTGATGAATCAATGTTACCTGTAGTATTTGTACTTTGAAGATTTATTAAAGTTTTCCTCACAATCTATAAATTATTAATTGTAGATACTACATGGCTATTTTAAAAGAATGAGTAGGGACACCTGGGTGGCTCAGTTGGTTGAGCTGGGCATGGAGCCTGCTTAAAATTCTCTTTCTCCCTCTCCCCCTTTCACTCTATGATTGCATAACCTTATTTCAGAGAATTGTGTGTATTTTTTTAAAGATTTATTTATTTATTAAAGAGAGAGAGAGGAGCAGAGGAAGGGGCAGAGGGAAAGAAGCTCATGCAGACTCCCTGCTGAACGCAGAGCCTAAGGCAAAGCTCAGTTTCATGATCCTGGGATCATGACCTGAGCCGAAATCTAGAGTCAAGACACTCAACCAAGGGAGTCACCCAGCTGCCCTGAACTGTGTGTATGTTTTAACCAGACTTACAGAGTTGTGCAACTAAACCATCTGCCACCACTGCCTACTCATACTAGAAATGTGAGCGGCATCCTTAACTCCTCTCTGCCTCATATGCGAAAACCATCTGAGGCTACCTTCCATATAGAGTTTTTCTTTCCTGGTGAACAGAATGTATTTGCTCAGTGCTATAGACTGAATGTTTATGTCCCTTAAAATTCATGTGTTGAAAGCTAATCCCCAATGTGATTGTATTAGGAGGAGGGGCCTTTGGGAGATGATAAAGTCATGAAGGTGGAGCCCTCATGAATGGTATTAATGCCCTTGTAACAAGGGCCCCGGACCTTATACTTTCTACCACGTGAGAGCAGACTAAGATGGCTGTCTATGTACAGGAAAAGGGCCTTTTCTGTATACTGTACCCTAGGCATCTCTTCATCTGGAAGTTTATCTGTATCCTTTATCATATCTTTTTATAATAAACTGATAAATAGTAAACTTCTGAGTTCTGTAAGCCATTCTAAAGAATTAATCAAACTCAAGGAGGGGGTCATGGGAACCTGCAATTTATAGCTGATTAGTCAGAAGCACAGGTAATTACTGGGACTTGAGCCCTTAATCTGTGCGATCTGATGCCATCTTCAGGTAGATAGTGTCAGAACTGAGTTAAATTGTAGGGCATTCAGCTGGTGTTGCAGAATTGCAGAATTGGGGGGGGAAGCCCTCACATTTCTGGTATCAGTATACTGAGACGCGTAGTAAAGGAGAAACACAAGAGGAAGAGTGTAGGTTGTCTTTACAATAACTTAAAGTATGTTTGATGCATTTAAAGCAGTGCTAAGAGGGAATTTTATAGCACTAAATGCTTACATTAGAAATAAGGAAAGGTTCCTACATCAAGAAACTGGAAGAGCAAAAACGAACCCAAACCAAATAGAAGGAGATAAAAGCAAAGTCTTTTGTAGACAGATAAGCTTTTTCTAAAATTTACATGGAAAAGCATGCTCTAAAATAGCTAAAATAATTTTGACAAAGAAGAACAAAGTGGGAGAAATTACCCAATATCAATACTTACTCCAACGGTACAAGACAATGTATATAATCAAGACCATGTAGCA